GCACGATATATCAGTGTCACAGGTAATATAAAATATATATTCAAGATATATCAGTGTCAAAGATGATATAAAATATATATGCACGAGATATCGGTTTCACTGTTGATATAAAATATATATGCACGAGATATCAGTGTCACAGATGATATCAGATATGTATGCACGAGATTCCAGTGTCAAAGATGATATACAATATATATGCACGATCTATCAGTGTAAAAGATGATATAAAATATATATGCAAGATATCAGTGTCACAGATGATATAAGATATGTATGCACGAGATTCCAGTGTCAAAGATGATATACAATATATATGCACGAGATTTCAGTGTCAAAGATGATATACAATATATATGCACGATATATCAGTGTAAAAGATGATATATAATATATATGCACGAGATTTCAGTGTAACGTATGATAAAAAATATATATGCACGATATATCAGTGTCAAAGATGATATAAAATATATATGCACGAGATATCAGTGTAAAAGATGATATAATGTATATATTTGATAAACATGTATTTGTTTTAATTAACATTTCACTTACAGGTGTTGCTAATAAATCATCATTTTTATCAATGGAAGTAAAATATACTCCCTCGTCATTAAGTCACATCCAAGTTTTTATAGTGCCTTTTATTGATACACTAATGGCTTTACAAGAAATCGTGATTGTGGGTGTAAGAATAAAAAAGTCTTTCCTTTATTGTCATTAAACGTTGTTACAGATAGCGTATGTAAACGATAAAAGGGTTGTTTTTTATAAAGCAAACGCCTATCAGGGGATATTTGTTTCGTTTTAACACGTAATAGATAGATGCTATAGTAACATTAGCACACTTTGATTCTTTTTCTCTTTTTTAAAAGAGCTATTTAGATAATACTTTAATCAACGAAATGTGTTTATCTTGATAAATAAACTGCATTCAATTGAAAGTTTTATCAACTTCTGTAATAATAGAGGTATGTGACCTACTTTCATTGTCATCAAAACATCAATACAAAGACCTTATGTTAATGATAAAGATTTCTTACGGAGAACATCTGTTAGGAGACATTTGTTGCATCGTTAAATATTAAAACATAAAGTTTTATAGCATTTATACAGAATTCAAACAATTAATTTACTCGTTTAACCAATCGATTTTGATAAAAATATAAGGATCTTTAAATTCGTATTTCCTTTTCCGTCCCGGCTCGAGAAAATAAGTGGCATTTTATCATGTTTCGTGAAAATATATTCCATATTTCACTGAAAAGAAATATCCTCTCAATATTCTTTACACTATACGACAAAGTTTATTAAAATATTATTTAAAAGAAAATAAAATGTTTCTTTCGGATCGGTTGTCATTATAATGAACTGGCGGGTGGTCAAGTTAATTATATTTTAAAGGCCCACTATGCCCTTGAAATGCTTTTATTTTGACTCCTCAAAAGCTTTTCAATTTTTATGTACTTTTATAATATCCAAAATATTTCTTATTTTCCAATTACCTGAACCATCATTTTTCGTCCGTTGCTTTTGGTCAATAAGTATAGGTTAGAGTGCATATTGGGTGTTCTTCGTAAATAAGAAAGCTAAAAAGGAGCGGAGCTTGCGAAGCGACTGTAGCTTTCTTATTTACGAAGAACATCCAATATGCACTCTAACCGGCTTAGTGCTCCGCCCATTTTTTCCGCCCAACACACTGTGTGACGTCACACGATAGCCTAAATGTGTATAACCATATTACGAAGAGGTAGCGGTACACATTTTCGGGTTACGTGTTTTGCATAGCTTATTCCCGCATTCTAGGTAAATCAGACAATATCACGGTGCATATCCATATCGGTACCCTCTTTGCGAAATATTCTCAAACGGTACCCTCTTTGAACATGCACAGGTCATTCTCTGCAAAAAACAAACCAGCGATGGATAACAATGCAGTAAAGTTTCATTGTAATAAGGAAAGGAGGTATGACACGTAGAAAAGATGTATACCACGGAACACTAGAATGTTTTATTTATGTGCTGAATTGTCATGTGCCCGATTTCCATGTACTGCAACTTCACAATAAGCTACAAAAAGTCGACATGTCTTGCCTCGCCCGTCACCTCGACATATTTTTCGGGCTGAAATGAACCTGTGGCTTGATTATATATGCACCATACATATTTATTATGTTCATATACATGTCATCTTCGGACAAATGGCAGTATATTGTCAAAAATAAATGTAAAATTCATAAAAACACCCTACTTTCGGTTTTGCAGCGACACGGGCTGTAATATTTACATAAAAAGTAAGAAATATTACATACATACTTTGATGGAATAAAGTGAACTTTTTATTTGGAATCTATAAAATGGTACTGGTTCCGTAAGTAATAAAACATTTTTACTGTTATTTTGCCTGTTTTCATTTCAATGAACCTCTTTTTTTAATTATATGCCGTAGTGACGATATACATGTGCGTGTACGGAAAAAAAATGATGCATAAATATTGATTAGTAGGAGTAAACTTCAAGATCTCTGCACATGCGTATATTTCACTTTAGCGCTCTTCGAAACTTAGCTCCGCCCTCTTGCGTTTTATAATATAAAACGTCCAGTTTATATAAAATCTGTTCTATTAAGATTTGAAACCTGAAAATTTGAAAAATCCTCGTCGGTGATTGGCTTAAAAAATTGGCGAGCACTAAGTACAGTTATTATAGTAAATAAGTATTTTGTATGGAAGTCAAAATACTAATTTGTTTACATTTTGCTACTTTAATGAAAAATTATTTCAAATTTATCGTTACTTTCCTCAGGTAACAAGTATGTAATATTCTCTAAAACCATTATTTTAATACTTCAAAATCACGTTTGCCTTTCATGAAAAAGTAAATATTTCGTAGTTTCTGAGGCATAATGTGCCTTTGATTTGTATGTTTATGAATACATGTAATACTTTTCAATCAATTTTAAAACCACGGTTTAAATCTATGTAACATTATTCTCTTATGCTAAACAAAATGTGTTACGTTACGTTATTATGCTTTACTTTTTCCAACAGAGCAAAACTATCTTCAACTTAGATTCGTTCACAGGTGTTTTATAAGTAAAAACACTCTAAACGAAATAAGGTCAAGGGTTTAAATAATTGAAACAAGCTGGTTCGTTTTTTTTTTTATCTAGTTGCTAGTTGCGTTTGGATGAAGCTGTTGGCAAGGTTTTAAAAGGGGTAATTTGATCTAATGCCGCGTTTTTGTGCTAATAGCATATTAACTTTTTACTATTATCTAATACGGCGTTTTAATCGATTTCATCACAGGGGTTCTAAACGTTAATTATGCCCAATTAAGTACAAGGTTGTTACTTTTTGACATAGATTATAATGGAAAGTAAGTAATAATAACCGACCTTGATATTATAACTGTTACTTTGCAGTTAAATCATTTGAATGTCATACAGAAAAGCATCATAAATTGTGAATTACTCGTAACAGTATATCTCTTTTGGACCACATCATTTAAATATAAATATATTATTAAAATTTTTGCTGCCAGAGCTGTAAAACAAATATATAAGTACAAGGGTTCTTTTGCCAAGGACATCTTTAAGAATAGCAAGAATGTACTTTAAATGCTAGGTCCTTTGTAAATTGATGTTATATATGAAACCAACATTCTAATGGGAGACAATGAGAGAACAGATGGCATTCATATCCTGAAAACGGGTACCTGTCTTGAGGACAACAATATCGGGTACCCATACTCTGAACAACAACATCGGGTACCCGTCCTCTGAACAACAACATCGGGTACCCGTCCTCTGAACAACAATATCGGGTACCCGTACTCTGAACAACAATATCGGGTACCCGTCCTGTGGACAACAACATCGGGTACCCGTCCTGTGGACAACAACATCGGGTACCCGTCCTCTGAACAACAATATCGGGTACCCGTACTCTGAACAACAATATCGGGTACCCGACCTGTGGACAACATTATCGGGTACCCGTCCTGTGGACAACAATATTGGGTACCCGTACTCTGAACAACAATATCGGGTACCCATCCTCTGAACAACAATATCGGGTACCCGACCTGTGGACAACATTATCGGGTACCCGTCCTGTGGACAACAATATCGGGTACCCGTACTCTGAACAACAATATCGGGTACCTGTCCTGTGGACAACATTATCGGGTTCCTGTCCTGTGGACAACAATATCGGGTAGCTGTCCTCTGAACAACAATATCGGGTACTCGTTCTGTGGACAACAATTTCACACTAACGATAACATTGTTCCGAAATCTATTCTTATATCTAACTTTATTATATTCTTCGATTTGTTTCATCTAACTTAATTTCCTCTTCTGTTTTTACTTTTATTTCTTAATTTATTATCTCTATTTCTTTTGGGAATTTAACATTTTTCTATTATTGCATTAATTTCTTTATGTTTTCCTTTTCTTTCTTATCTTTATATCAAATGAAACGAGGTTGTGAAACTCTTTTGCTATAACTGACAAATGGAGGAATGATCTGATTGAATTTTTAACTAATGAAAAGTTATACGTGCATAATGTAGATTTCTATGAGGAAAATAAAGTCTATTACTTACATACCTTTAACCTTTAAGTGTGTCTGTGGGAGCGTGCTTGTGCGCGCACGCATGTGTTTGTATATGCGCGTGTGAGCGCGCGTGTGTAAAGAATAAATACATTGTATTTTGTTTCTAAATATTTTCTTATTCATTTGTCAATGTTTACTATTTCGCTTTAAATATACGCCTAAGTTTGTCTACTACGTTATAATGTCATATTGGTATCACATAAGTTACAAACATGCCGATTTTCTTTTCCTCTTGATTCGGAAGCGTAACACAATATTTTTACTTAAGCGAAAGCTGCCAGAGTATTCGTATAAATGACATGTCAATGCTGAAACGGTGAGTCAAGCGACACCGTCGACTATCGCTGATGTTAGATAGTTTTAATTGTGAACGCTCTACAATATTCTGTAGAAGTTATTGGATATTATTTCTTAAATCGTACAGAATTCAGCAATGTTTTTCAATAATCGATGCAACTCGCACGGATTTTCAGGTTAACGGGTAATGCCGTGCAACCAAGTTTATTACCCTGTTAAGGTTTCTCTTTTAAAGCCTCAGTCAGTCATTCATGTTTATACGCTGTTGTGTTGTTTAATGTTATTGTCAATTTTATGAGAGTTTTGCGATGATTTCGGAATTAAATCTGTTTTGACGTTAAAGTAATTGCATCGTGTTTTGTAATCATGGAACTGTAATCAATTTGGATGCATGTTTTCGGATGATATTTACACTATTAAGGTACGTACGACACCGTTTGTTTGTTGTAAGATTTATTGTCCAATCAGTGTGATTGATTAATTTTGATTTGATTATCAACATGACAAACTAATATTTTAATCGAACCGATCATGACATACGAGGCACAGTTTATATTAATTTTCTTTGATTATTATCTTTAACATTAGCTTTGATATTATTCAGTTATAGCTGGATCGTTTTTTTTTTGTCATTAACTAAGTATTTTAGTAATATAAATAATGGCGACTTTAATGATAAACGTAACATTTAGTCATTATACCTATATACATTAATATTTATTTGAAATTCTTTGTAAGCAATGAATGAATGCCGTATAAGTGTATGCCATGCATTCACCTTTAAATCTGTTTCGATACTCGTGCATCATGGACAGTGGATCTAATGGTCATTTGCTTGCTACTGGTGATTCATAAACCGTGTGGAATTAGCAGTCGGGTCATTTGCGGATATACTTGTATTTAATGGTTGCTTATCCAGAAAACCGGCAAGGCTTAGCGAATCTCATAACCGGTTAAAGCGGCTCGTTCCCATTGTTTTGCTTAATTCAATAATAATAATCATGAATTTGTTAACAATGTAATATTATAAATGACAAATTCGCAAAGACAATTGTTTATGCTACACTAAATAGTAACAGAAACCTCAAGATTTGTAATATGTATAGACCTTTTTTACTCTTCTCCTTGCTGAGTGTTTGCAATTATCTGTTTATTTGTTTTATTTTATTATTCTCGAAGATTTTCACGTTTGCCAGAAGACTATAGTGTAAAAATAATATTTCATTTCCTTTCATACATTTCTTAATATTCAACTTATTCAATAAAATATTTCAATTTCCTTTTGAAATATTTTATATTCCAGAGCTAATCGTCTTTATGTAATATGATATAGAATGTTCATTTACCTCCTATAAGTACAACCGATTTAATATGTTTTAACCATTAACTTGCAGCAACTGAGTCTACCTAGTATGTGACTAGTGCAGACACATATCATCCGGCTCATCCGTGCCGTGTAGGAGCACATTTGTCTCGGAGCACATTTGTCTTACGTAAGACCAATGCGGTCGCATTTGTCCCACATGAGACAAATGGGACCTCAAATGTCTACCCCAAAAAACTCATTTGTGTGACAAATATGCCCCGATCAAGTTTTTTAAGGGACAAGAAAGCACATTTGTCTCATGTGTTTTTAAGGGACAAGAAAGCACATTTGTCTCATGTCATATTTTATGAATTATTTGTCACATTATTCCCACGGCAGAAATTCTTTTTTAGAATCGAGGTTCGCATTTTTACGTAATGTCACGTGTAATCATCAATAGGTATGCTTATGCTTTCTTTATGAAAACCTAAAGACAACTATTAATCATAATATTTCTAATTCAAGTAATTGATTGGCTTAACCTGAAAGCGTACACCGAAACAAACTGATGGTACAATGGTGACAGTGTTACGTTGATGAAAACGCGATGGTGCGATGGTGAAGACGTTATGGTACGAACGTGAAACAACGACTGTACGATGGTGAAACAACGATTATACGATAGTGAAACAACGAATGTTCGATGATGAAAACGTGGTGATACTATGGTGAAAGACGATGTTACGGTGGCGAAAATACGATGGTACGATATGGTACAATGTATGCATGATGATGAAAACGCGATATTATTTTCTCTATCGTTTCATCGCGATTTCACCTTAGTGTCATCGTGTTTTAATCATAGTACCATCTCAATTGTTCAAGGAGTCAAAAATACTACTTATGTCCAAACGGAACAGCGTAATCGGTTGATATTGAATGATACAATATCGTGACTCGTTTCGCATCTCGCCGAAATCTCGCGTCTCGCTTCGCATCTCGTTCGTCGATGCGAGACAAGAAATTGATTCCAGATCATATACCGCTAAGTAGTATTCCCTTTATAGTCAACATAAAATCACTTAAAGGCCCATTATGCCTGAGAAATGCTTTCATTTGTATTCCTTAAAAGCTTTGTATTTTTGGTATACTTTTATAGCTCCAAAAAGTTACTCATTGGCTAATTACCTAAAGCATTTTTCATCTGCTGCTTTTTTTGCAGTTTGTACAGTTGAAATGATTTAGAATTTTGTATTGAAGTCAAAATACTACATTGTTTACATTTTGCTACTTTTATGACGCATTATTTCACATTTTCGCGAATTTCTTTAGATTACAAGCATCTAACTTCCTCAGAAATCATTATTTGATATCAATAAATTCATACTTGCTCTATCTTAGAAAAAATTTATTCATTTCTGAAATCTCGTGGTACGAGATACTTCGACATTGCGAGATCTCGTGTTATAATATAGTGCCTCGCTTCGTGTCTCATCGGAATTAATGTCGCGTCTCGCACGATTCTGAGTGGTCCGATATTCCATAATTATGGCATTACCCAGATTATTTTAGGAACTCATACATGTTGTAAGTGCTTTTTCAATAGCGGATCTGAAAGCCGCAATTCTTGGAAAATGACGATTTTTACATACATATATTTCTGATGAAAACAAAATACGTGTGTAATGGTCTTCTTATTTTCTTCCTTAGACCATTTAAGGGCCTCCATGGCCGATTGATTAAAAAAAAACACTTGTCCCTAACCGCTGGAGGTACGACATATTCACGGGGCATCGAACTATTCATCGAACTTTGCGAGGATCCCGGTCAGTGTCCAAATGCGGAATACATATCCGCATGCGCACGTCATAGCTATCGCGTGCGCACGTAATAGTATCGCGGGGCCACGTAAAAGCTATCGTTTGCGCGCGTAATAAATAAGAAAATTGTATGCCACCTTTATGCCACCGTAGATACTTCCTTGTTTTTGATAAAATATATTTCTAGTGCCATAAATCATTTATAAAACTTTAAGCGTTGAAAATAAACGCATCACAATTGATAACGATAACAATAGACTTGCTGCATATGTCTCTAGGTTCTGGATGCTGCACTTGTAGAAATTTTCATTGTGACATGCAGAACAAGGATATTCTTTAATTTAATGTATGACTCCTATGCAGGGACAGGAAGTTTTTGACTGACCGGAAGTGACCTAAAAACGGTTTTATAAATAAAGAAAACACAGAACAATGGCTGGTTGCCGGTAAACGGACGGGCATAATTATTACCTTTTAAGAATTTTATGGAAAAATAAGAGACAAATGTGCTTCGAGTGTCCTTTCTTTTGTGTGTCGAACACATCTGTCCCATTTCCAATTTGTCGCAAATACGAATGTTTACGAACACATCGGTCACACTTCGTGAGACAAATGTGCTCCGAGACAAATGTGCTCCTACAGTGCCGTCTTATCATGGTCTAAACTGTTCGCTATTCAGTGCTTATTCGGAACCCCTAAAAATGATGATAATAATAATAATAATAATTATAATAATAATGATAATAATAATAATAATAATTCTTATAATGATAGTAATAATAATAATAATCATAATTATAATCATTACAATCATAATAATGATAATTATCGTAAAAATAATATTATTAATAATAATGAAAAAGATTATTAATAACAATGATGATGATGATGATGATGATACTAGTAAATATAATAATAATAAAAATAATAATAATGATAATAATTGTGGTGGTGGTGGTGATGATGTTGTTGATAATGATGATGATGATGATCATAATAATAATAATAATAATAATAATAATAATAATGATAATAATAATAATAATAATAATAATAATAATAATAATAATAATAATTATTATAATAATAATAATAATAATAATAATAACAAAATGAAACTGGTTTTGTCCGGTTAAAAGAGAAATTAGTCTGTTATCATTATTAAATGTGTTAAGGATTCCAAAAACATTCTCTAACATTGTTCTACTGGAGATAAAGTGTTTGTTATGTATCGATTATACATCAATTTAGAAAGGACAGTAATTTATGGAAGACAACATCTGTGGTATAAACATTTACATACGCTTTCAATTTTATTCCTTTTATCTTGATGTAGTGACGTTATCTGTATGATAACATCTGTCACTTATACAAATATTCTGATATTTCATAATGTTTAATTTTCGGAATGTGTTGTAGGCATAACAAAGTGGCGACATGGACGTGTGGTTAACGTTTTATGATCGGTAGCCGCATGGGTTTAACCCTGTCATCGGTAAACCAATGTGTCGTCCTTGGGCAAGACAAATTACACTCATTGCTTAGTACCGGTTGGTTCCAGGAACGGATTCGAGATTGTTTCCTTATAGCACCCTACACAGTCGATCTATAATAATTTCCTTATAAACTAAACAAGGTATAGACAGTTAACCTACTATGTAAATAGATGACCTTGAACAGCTATATATTATAATAATATCAGATTTCTATGAAGTAGAAATGTTTACTTATTATAGAAAGAATATTAGTACGAAACAAAATATTACATGTATGCTGTTTTTAAGTAGCAATAATGTTTTTGAATGCCATTCTCTATCTAGAAAATTTACAAACATTTTGTACAGGTGTTTTGGAGTTCATCTTTTATAAAAGATTTAAAACAAAAGGCAGCAGATATACAGTTAATTGAGCTTGATACACATTAAGATATGTCATATCGAAAAAAACGGATTTATTGATTTGAGAATATCCTTGTACGATTATTCATTGATAATAACTAACGGGGACATAGGTTTAAATATCTTAACAGATAGACAAATTATAGGAATGATTGATGAAGATGTAAGGCACATTTTTCCTCTGGAATTCAGTTTCTCTAATTATTTAGAAATGTCAAATATACGTTTAATAATGTTTCAATAATGGATTTAGAGCATGTTAAATATTTGAATTCTGCAGAAAGTAGCGCTAAATGTATAATAATGTGTTGTAAAGGTAGCAAATTGTAAACTTATCAGTATTTTGACTTCGATAGAAAATACTAATTCACTATCACTAGCCAACATAAAAAAAATC